AGACCAAAACCGAAGTTATAAAATCACTAAAGAAAATGTGTAGAATAGCTGTAACATGTGCTGCGTGGACATCCATCACCACTGGATCTTATTTCACCGTAACTGCGCATTTTATCTTCTTCTCATGTGCTCCAAACAAGAGCAGTGAATGAGAGTCTTCTAATTCACTTGCCACATTACTTCCATCTGTTTTTATTAAAAAAGATATTGGAAGTAAATTCATTATGGATCATTAGAAATGCTTTGCTTTAAAAGAACCAAGTCACTTTAAATAAAAACACCGAGTCACTTAGTCACTTTAAAATGTATATTGTCTCTACATTCTGTATATATTTTGTGTATATTTTGTGTATATTTAATATATTTCAGTTGGTTTTTCTTGTATTTTTATTTTTACTTATTGACTTTCTGTAGAGTGATTAGCTGAGCCTCACCACAAGCATTTCAATGCATAAATGTCCTGACATGTTGTGCAAGTAACAAATAAACTTGAAACTTGAACTCGAAACTTGAGCTCACACAGTGAGAAAATATAAATGCTATATAGAAAAAAGGATGCATCGAGATGCATTGATAATCGTTTTATAATCGCATCGCAGCCCTCTGAATCGTAATCGAATCGTGAGGTGCCTAGAGATTCCCACCCCTAGCCATTTGTATTTCTTCTTGTAAAACTGAATTATTTTTCTGCTACAGATATGTACAGATGGGAGACAAATTAAAGGAAAAAACAATATAAAATGTCTTAAGCCCTACTGGAGCTGGATTAGTATCACACAAGGACCCGCTGTAATTTGAGTGTTTACAGGCGAGATCTGTGATTTTAATTCAGCACGAATATGACTGTAGTTTAAGCAGTAATTCTGGAGTGGATTTCCACTTATAGTTCTCAAAACTCAAGAGCACCTCAGTAATATCAGGCCTCGAATCCACATCTCAGTAACGTAACAACAAAACCGGCTAATAGAAAACAGATGAGGTCTGGTTCCACTTCAAATGGTGCAACAGTTACATGTAACTGTAGTCATATGTAGCAGTACGAGCTCTGCACCATTTAATGTGAAACAAGAAAGTTCAACTGAGAAGCTGACTTCAGCTTTGCAGAAAGCAGCGCCTCAGATGAGGCTGACAGCTAAAACTGAGCTAGATTTGACCCAGTTCCTTAATCCTCAAGTTCATGACGAGACTACTGAACTCCAGAACACTTTTGGTGATGGCCGAATTTCAAGGAAAAGGAAAATTAACTCAAAAGCATGGTAAGGCATGGAAAAGCATGTAGCTGGTCAAGCAGTGTGTTTTCTGTCCTGTTGGGCAGCTTTTGGTAAACTGAATGAACCCACTTTACTAGGTTAATGCTAGTCTATATATCATTTAGCCACACAGTGTTTTATTGCTTTTAAGCATGGTGCCTGTTGCATAATGCTGATGTAAACAATGTTTGGATCTGGGCTATTTGGAGTAATTTGGGAAAATTACAGGATCTTTTATACTGTACGAATCAGCCAGTCAAGTCATGCCCAAATTACACTGCCAATTAAATTATTACCAAACAATTTACACTTAAAACTAATCCAGCTTTTGTCAGAACAGCTTCAAGGCACCTTCAAGTCTGTGGAACTGTTCTAGAGGGATGGAACACCGTTCTTCCAAAAGATATTCCCTCAGTTGGTGCTTTGTCGATGGTGGTGGAGAATGTGGACTAACCCATCACTCCAGAATCTCTCACAGGTGTTCAACTGGGTTGAAAACTGATGGCTGTGAAGGCGACAGCATATCATTCATATCATTTTCATACTCATCAAAGCATTTAGTGACCCCTCATGCCCAGTGGATGAAGGCACTGACCACTCCCATCAGGATATAAAATGTTTTTTAGAGGATGAAGGTGATCTGTCAGAATCACTTTGTATTGATCTTCACTGACTCCTCTAATGGGACAAGTAACCAGCAAAATGCCCCCAACAGCATAACAGAACCATCAGAACCCTCACTGTAGGGGTCCAGCATGCAGGCCTGTTCTGTTCTCCTGGTGTATGCTGCACACGCACTCTCCTACTTGTGCAGAACTTTCTGAAGCTCAGATTGCTGTAAGTATGTTTAGGATTATTTTATTTATTTATAGAAATTACTTACTACTCTTACTTGGTCTCTCAATATGTACTGGTGGATAATTTTTAAACCAAAATTATCTGCCAACAGAGTGAGGTCATTTCACTTCATAAAATTACCTAAAACAAGTAAAAAATATCTACAACGTACAGCAAAATGAGAAAAATTCTGTAGATATAAAATGATTACACTTGACAAGATATCATCCTTGCTGTGTAATGAGGGGTTTGTGTGCTGTAGCCTTTTACTCACTGTTCCTACTGCTGCCATTCAATAATAAACTCTCTTTCAAAGTCACTCAGATCTTCTCATCTTGATGCAAAATTGAGGTCAACTCTGCTGCTCAGTATTTTTATACCTGCCACAGAGCATGACAGGGTGATAATTGCTTAAAGATAAAACTTCAATGGCAAATGTCATCTATTACGTCTATAATGAGATTCTATTACACAAAGAACAGATTTAAAGTACACTGACTAAATGGCTAGAACTGCCATCAAACGTGATTATATAAAACTGTTAGCTTGGTGCTAACAACACAAATTCCCATAGGGATGGTAATGGAAATTAGCATTATGTTAGTGGCTAACTGGACAATGCAATGCTGCTTATAAAGTGAATTACATTTCTGTGTTAAACATTGCTGTGTCATGACTTACACCTGGCGGATCTTCATGATTTTATAACTGTACTTGTTTCACAGCATTCACAGCAGTTTCTGCTGCTGTTCTAGACCCTTAAAAAGATGGTTCTTCAAGGGTTCTTTAGTAAAATTATTGGTTCGGTTGGTACGTACAGTGATTAAGTAAAGCTGAAGCCGAGCTGGGCTCAGTCTACTGCTGTGTTAATTTTATTCTCCTCTTATCAAAGACATCACAGCATCCATCACAACACTAAAACTAAAACTAAATAAAAACAAAACTAAAACTCTTAAATGTACCCTTAAAACTAACTGAAACTAAACTGAAATTAAAAAAACAAAATGAAAAATTAAAAAATAACTAAAGAAAATTTCAAAACTATAATAACAACATCACAGCACTGTCCTTATCTTCTTCGTCATCATGGAACACAGAAGAACCTTGGGCTTTGATTTCGCTGCCCAACAGCAGCAGAGGAGGAGAACACTGGAGTTCTTCTCAGACTAAACTGTTTTGATCACTGGCACTGGGCGAGCGAGGAGAGTTCTTACAGAGATTAATGATTAAAAGTGGACTGGAACATTGAGAAAGACGAAATGCTTTGAAGTTCAGCGGTTTGGGGAAAAGAGAGAAGGGAGAGAAAGGGGGAAGAGAGAGAGAGATAGAGAAAGGGGGAGAGAGAGAGAGGGCCTGGGGGCCTTCAATAGCAGCATGGCTCTTCGCGGTCTAAATTCAATTAAGAGTAGAAGAAGATGGCAGGCGTTCCTGAAGCCCCTTACTGCAGCCTGGGGAGTCCCAGCCAAACAAGGCAGGACTGGGGGTGGGGCGCGGGGGGGTTCAGAAGAAGTTGGTGGAATTGGTTGAGAAGCATTACAGCGACCACATAACTGCGGGGCTGCTTGCTCAACACTCTTTTGGATCAAAGCTAAGAGCACCACGGCCTTAAGAACATTACCGTCGAACCAGAACATCATCGCGATGTCTACAGTGGTGCTCCAAAAGTAACGCAGAGTTAGAGATGGACCATTGAGTGTTTTTGGGGCCGATACCGATCAGGATACCACAAAAATTGAAATTAAGCGGAGCCAACGCCACCAGCGCAGCTAACCAGACAAAACAGACTGATTTTCAAATATGCAATAAAAAGGCTATGATCGCTTTTGTAGTTCTGCGTCTTATTTTTATTTTCAGTTCCTGCCAAAGCCGCAGGTCATGAATCTAGTGCAGTGTAAGCAAAGCTAAAATTAGCAAATGGATGCTAACATGCTAAAAGAAACGAATCCTCAAAGCTTTGACAACAAACCGTGTTAAATACAGCCCTACATGTTCACACAGCGAGTTTACAGAGAAATAGGAGCCAAATGTGTAATAATATACTTCAAGAAAAATGTTTTTCATTAGTGAAATAGATATGATGAGGCTGAAGTAGGCTTCCTGTTCACCAGGTTCTTGTTCCAATTTTCCAGTTCCACCTCAAGTGGTGCAGCAGCAACATTCTGTCTTACGTCACTGAGTGTGTTTACATGCACTCAATAATCCAATCATAATTGGTTATCTGATTATTCAAATGGTCATATAGACAGCATACTCGTGATTTCTTAGATCGGAGTAAGTTCTAGAAATTAGTTTAAGAAATCTGATAAAGAGAGCTGGATTTTAGCTCAGTAATCAGATTTCTCAGTGCATGTAAACTCCTACTCTGATTTCTTTTGGATTTCTCAGTCTGCGCATGCGCGAATACAGACGGCGGCACCGGAAATAAGCAAGCAGCTTTGCTGTGAGATGGCAGCAAAACACTTTTGGAGCAACGCTGAAACCAATTACATGCTTGACGAAATTAAGGATTTAAATCTTCTTCATCTTCTAGATCATGTACGTTCATATTTTCAGGTAAAGTTGGGGCGAGGTTTTTAAAAAAAGTTCTGTGTCTTTATTAGCCGGTTGTAAAGGAGAAATCCGATTACTGTCTGACTCATGTAGACCCAGAGTTTCCCCATTATCTGATTACTCAAGTGCATATAAATGCATTGGATTACTGACAAAATCTGATTTTCTGCAGTTATCGGATTATTAGATGCATGTACACGCACTCAGTGTTTACATACTACATCAAATATTTTTTCCATGCTATGGGGCCTGTAAGTGACCTGTTGGTGAACATCATGCAAAACATGATGGTTTGATCAATAGGTCTGTTTTGCAGTAGAGCGTTTACTGTCTCACAGCAGTATGGAAACATGACTGACCCACCTTAAGAGTCTCTCCGCGCCTGAAGCTCAGCTCGTCATCCGCAGTGGCGTTGAAGTCGTACTTGGCGATGGCCTCCATGGCAGAGGCTGCGCTGCTTCCCACGATGCTCTCTCTGCACGACTGGACAGTTAAATTTGACAAATTAACTTTGATGCAAACAGCTCTGCCCCAGCAGCACTTCCCCTGAGATTAGACCACACATTAGACAGATAAGGTGCCATCCTCTCAGTGATCTCCTCTTGAGGAACATTACAAGCTGCAGTGGGACAGAGCTCAGAGATCATGGTGTCAGACTGGAACAGAAGCCAACTCTCAAACCCGTTTTATAAAGGAAGCGATGCAGCAAGACTAAACTGCAAAGAGCGTTTTTTGTCCAGTAATGGATGTAAAGTAATTCCATCAATTTTGTCCATAAGATGGAAACAGAGTCATTGTGGTTTGGTGTGAAACGCTCCATTCTAGAGAAACTTACAGAGTCAGGACTGTTCACAGTGGTGGTGATAGGAACCAGACATCCACCTCTAAAACCTCCCTCACAGAAAGTTATTACACAAAATGGCTATGAATACACTGTCTGACGTCTGAGACTATGTTTTAAGATAGTTTTGAGAAGATTTTGCCCTTAAAATCTATTCATGGTGGAGGGATACATAATATGCAGGGTGCTGTGAGGCAAAATAGTCCCAAAAGAAAACTTACTATTTCAGATTTTCCACTATTTTCCCATCATCAACATTCCATATAAAACTCAGGAGACAAGTGTAGCTTCACTGGTTGTTTTGAATAGTAAATAAAATGTCTATATTTGTGTTGTAGTCATGGTGACCCCTGGTTCCTATCACCACCACTGTAAAGAAATCTGAACCATTTCACACCAAACCCCTCTGACTTGTGTTACTCTTTAAATTTTAACGACTGAATAGTGTGAAAATTGTGAAAAAGGGATGGAATTCATCTTTAAAATAAAGCTGTTTTGATAATGGGCCTTGATTGCATAATATAACAAGAACTGGGGGCTTTAAAAGTTTTGTTTTTTAAATCGTAATGTTACATGGGAGTGGGAAATATGATGATATTTATGGTTACTGTGATAAATTATATCACAATATGCCACAATATGCTTTTCTAGGCATAATCAGTCATATTTAGTCCAGAATAGTTTCTACAGTATTGAAGAAAAATCACAGTATTCATAGTTTTTGACAGAATTTTTGTATCCATTCAACAGTATTTGTGCTTTTGTATCAGTTCCAATAAAATACTGTGTATTGTGAAAAATGTCCTGGAGTATTGTGATGTTATATTTTTGCCATATCGCCCACCCCTACATATGCAGTCTCTTTAAAACCTTTAAAACTTGGAATACATCTGATTTAAATTTTAAAATAGAGATGTGCATCATCATGCGCAATGCACACTGCCTCAATATCCTTAAAAATCACATTTAACTCTTTCACTATATAAACTAAATGGATAAATGGACACTGTATTGTGAGCTGTATTGATTAGAGCTTAAAGTAAGAGCTGAAATCTTTTTTGTTTAAACACAGGACTCTAAACTTTCTAGCAGCAGAAAGCTCATATCTCAAAGCTTATATCTTTTACCCATCAAATATTAAAACAATTAAACTCTTTAAAAAAGATGGTTCTCCAAGAATCATTTGCATGCTGTCTGAGATTGATACAGAATGTGTTGCTTTTGAAAATGGTTCTAAGTAGCAACGAAAAGGGTTCTGCTGTACTTGAATAGTGACGATGTCAACCTTTTTTTTAGAGCTATACAGAACCATTTTCAAAAATAACACAAGCTGAAGAACCATTTCACCATGCAGAGAACCATTTAAGCATGCAAATGGTTCTCAGGGTGGTCATGGTTCTATATAAAAACACTAAAGAACCATCTTTTTAAAAAGAGTGGATAAAACGAAATGAGAAAGTTGGCTTCCCTATCCGATTTTTTCCGTTCCACCTTAAATGGTGCAGCAGTTACATTCTGGCGTCTCAGTCGCTCGACTGTAACTGCTGCACCATTTAAGGTGGACCGGAAAAATTCGAAAAAGGAGCAGGCGAATAAGAAGACAACTTCAGCTTTGTGTTATGTCATGTTCTCCATCACCACCAAAGCTACCAGAGAAGCAAATGCAGCACTCACCCAGTGACTCTGCTCCCCTCACACAAAGCACAATCCTTTAATGACCTAACAGTCTTTGTCCACTTAACTGCGTCCACAGCTTGCCAACCAGAGCCTTGTAAATCTATTTAATGCAGTCTTGTTCTTCTCGACTCTCCTCGCTCCGACACCAGGCAGGAGAAGCAAAGAGAGCCGCTTATTTCCGTTTCCGTCCCCGTGGATGTGCTGGGTGGAGAGGCGGGAGCAACAAAAAGCTCCAGAAGATCCGCAGATCAGCTGCGGAGAGCGCAGAGTGAGCGCGCGCCCCAGCCAACAGCCCCAGCACGCGCCCCGGGACCGAGAGACTCCACCCCCGTAAAAAACACTCAGACCAATCGAGCGCCCAGCTCGCGCCTAGAATCCTTAGTAGAATCCTGCCTGTACGAGAGAGCCCCTAAAGGGAAACCCCACCCATTTTTCCAAAATTACACAATAAACCAGTGGTTAAGCCACTCAAAGTCACTCAAAGCGGTATGTTGTTTAAGCGCTTATTTCCAGAGAAATTGACCCACTGTGATTTCTTCACCATGACTACAACACAGACGTTCATTTACTATACAAAACCACCAGTTAACCTACACGTGTCTTCTGAGTTTTGATGATGATAAAATACTGGAAAACCTGAAAGTTTTCTTTATTTTGGGGAGTATTTTGTTTCACAGCGCCCTGCGTATTATGTATTCCTCCACCATGAATGGATTTTAAGGCTAGAACCTCTCAAAACTATCGTAAAATAATTTTCTCAGACATCAGGCAGTGAATTCATAACCGTTTCATGTAATAACTTTCTGTGAGGGAGCTTTTAGAGGTGGACGTCTGGTTCCTATCACCATCACTGTGAACAATTCTGACTTGGTAAGTTTCTCTAGAACGGAGTGTTTCATACCAAACCATGCTGAATGACTCTGTTTACATCTTAGCTGTTTAATTATGCAGACATTTTGAAATGTTGGTGGGGTTGTCCTTTAAGCATGTCCTCATGCAATTGAATATTTGACATAATTTTTTTGCATGAATTTTATTTTAATGACCTTTTACATCCGTATTAATGACAGATAAGCTTAAGTTATACTTAAAGATGGTTCTTTAAGGGTTCTTTAGTAAAGACAATTGTTCTATATAGAACCATGAACACGTAAAGAACCATTTGCATGATTGAATAGTTTGTTGCATGGTGAAATGTTCTTAATATTGATGGATGTTGTATGTGGTTCTACATAGAACCTTTTTGAAAAGGGTGCTATATAGCACCAAAAGGGGTTCTTCTATTATTACAAGATTGACGCTGTCACAATAGAAGAACACTTTTTGGTGCTATGCAGAACCAACGCATTCTCCATCAGTCCGAAGAACCATTTCACCATGCAGAGAACAATTTGAGAATGAAATGTTTCTATGTAGAACACGTGGTTCTATTGCCTTTATTAAAGAACCGTTGAAGAACCATCTTTTTAAGAGTGACGAAGAAAAAATTGGTGTATTTCATTAGAAACATACAAATATACTCGCTAACTTACTAACTAGATTACTAAATACGCAGATGTTCATGTTTCATCACTTTTATTCGTTGATAAGAGAAATTTAAAAGGTGAATGGTTGTTTTAAAACTTGATCCACACAGAGCAGCGAGAGCATGAGGTCATCTAGCGGTGAGTAATGGAAACACAGCAGCAGTCAGAGCGATTACGTGAAATGATTATGGATTACCACAAAGTTAAACTTATTATTTATCAGTGAGGCCTGAACTTCTCAATTTTTGAATGTGTACAGTAGAGCAAAGCCGTTTCTCTTCAAAGTGTTTTGTTTTGTTGTCGAACGTGTTTGTATGACTAAACCGTACGAAGTGTCGCAGTTCCTCTGTCCGCCGCTGAGTGTCGGTATTGTGCCGATGGCGGAGTCCCGCCTGTAGGAGCTCTGCACTGTGCAGATGCAGATCACAGCTGATCTCGCACTCATTCCGGCAAGATACACACAAAATTAGTTTTACTGATAGGAATAAGATACTTTACTCACGCATAGAACAGAATAGCTCCTTCCTGAAGATGATCACAGGGATCTGTTCGGTGTCTGTTTTGCATTCTTTTTAAATTTTAACCCAAAGCGCTTATTTCTTTTTTCCTCCACTTTTCCATGGATTTCTTCAATGAGTCGCTCGAAAACTCGTCTCTGTTCATCTTTAACTCCTCTGGACGCCTCACAGGTAGGTTCAACACTAAAATACGAGCAGATCAGAACTGGCTGCTTCCTTAATAAAGCAGCCGGTTTCTATATATCTAAAAGTGCCTGTTTTATGTGCACACACATTGCACTAGATTTGATTTTTTGATTATTGTCAAATTAATGTAAAATTTCTCATGTTTAGGCTGAATTTAAAGTATTATACAACTACAAAAGTAGTATTTACAACTTAAAGTATATACATAAACCTAAAGTATTAACAAATTACCATAACAGTATCAAATGTACATATAGTAATTTCCCATGTCGTTTTATTTATTAGGTCATGAAGTTAATTTTCTTTTTTTTTTAATCTTCAGTTACTTATATGTGAGGGTGTTTTGTATGTGTACGATTATATTGTATTATATTATATTATAGTTTAATATATGACAAATTTCTAACATAACCTATTAAAAATGTGTACAAATGTGATCTTCCTCTGATGCTTAGAGCTTGATGATGTTAAAGAGTTACAGTGTGGAGAAGCTGGAGGGCCAGATGGGTTCAGTAGCGAGTTCTGAGTGAACTGCTGGTGTAGCTTAAGAAATCTGATGCCACCTGCATTATAAACACTGTTTTAATGAAACAGAGCAGAAACAGATGCGATTCTCCTGGAAAATCATCAACTTGGCAACAAATCAGCAAATTTATGTGACCAAATATTTGCCCAAATCCCCTCCCCCCCAAAAAAGTGTGGTCAGTACGTGACCGTTGGGTATTCATCTGAACCCTGAGATATGGTTCAGATGAATGAATTGCCACACAGTGATGTTGGTGGTGTCTGGATGCAGCTCTGTGCGTGTAAGGATTCACAATAAACAATAAACAATACTGCGTAACACTTTATATTAAGGGTACATGACCTGTCAGTAATTAAGGCATTTACTAATGAATAACTAATCAGAAAATAATGAGTCATTAATCAGGAACAAATGAATAAGTCATATGTTAATAACCACAAGACTAAACTACTAACACATGTACTAATGAATGAAGATGAAGGTAATAAAGGCTTTATTCAGTGCCCTGAATTAATTAAGAATTCATGTGTTAATTAAGCATACAAAAAGAATGTTAGGACAACTGCTAGAAGCTCTGTTAGTTTCATTTTATTCATGCAATGTATGATTACCTATGTCATACTGCAATATCATACTGTTACAACAGAAACATAAACCGTTGTATGTTTAATGAACTGTAAACTAGTTTATTTCCGGAAATAGGCATTTGATTTAATTAAAACTGTGAATTATCTTAATATATGCCATAGTTATTCTGAGAAATACCACCTTCAGAAAATGAAAATGTGTTTCCCATTATACATCTATTATTCTTTTTAAAAATGTGCTATATCTAAATGTTCTATTAATGGAAACACAGCATTTTGAAATGTAACACTTCAACTGTTTCCGCAGCTGGAAATTACTGCTATTTTTCTTTGCCAGTAAGTGCCAGTAATTGCATTAAATGCTATATGTCAAGTGGCCATAGAGTCTTGAGCAAATATCTCTAGTACAACGTTTAAGAGAAGCGAATGAAAATAATTGAAGTAATAAAAAAAATTAAATATTTCTCTTTTCGCCCTTTTTGCAATATTTTGCATTTTTCTTACTTTTAAAGGTGAGTTATGCATATGCATACTGTATTATATACGTAATTTACATCACAGATATAATATTTACACGTGGTATTGTTGTCTGAGTGAGTGCTAGTACGTATGTTCGTGCCTCACCTCTTTTTAGACTAACGTGTAAAACATGTAGCTGTTATCTGTGGTGAAACACAACGGATTTGCAGGAACTATTATTTCTCAATTCGTGCTTACTTATTTGCAATAAACCTTTTTCGTTTTAATAGTAAGGTGTTTGTGTTTCTCACGAACGTCGTCTGATTCTAGTAGTAACGGCGTCAGGCTCGTCTATTCTGTCTGGTTAAAATCACGTGTTAATTTTATGCTGCTTGGTTCATTTGTTATTCCTCCTTTGACAGGGACTCTTATTGTGAAGGGCTATGTGTGTGGCGGCACTGCTTCACATGGCCTAGTAGTAAACAGACTGAGCCGAGACAGCGAGGGGGCGCGCTAACTGCCGAGCGCTAACCTAGCACCGTATTCTCCCCTTTATTTTGTACTCCGTTCTGAGTTTTTCAGTAAAGCTGAGTCACAGACTCGACCTTCAGCCTGTGTGAGTTATTTGGAAACACCGCTGCAGTGTGAATATCTTTGTGACTTTAATTAGCCAGCAGTTCTGTCCGTTTTACAGATGTTTGTGGAACTGACAGAACCAGTATATATTGGGTTCTCTTCATTTTCCGTGTTACAGTGACAGATTCACGTGCTCTCGTTCTGTGTATTGTGTAGAAGTCATAAGATGATAATAAAATATGCTTTTTTATTCCTGTGAATTTCGTCAATGTCATGTTTTCATATGAGCCATATTGTACCTATCCTTGATCACTGTTCTTGAGAGGACAAAAGAATGACTGTCATTTTGGTAAGTAAAATGATTAACCCCTGCTATTTTATTTGCTTTTAATCAGTAATAAAATGTGACTGGTTCATCGCTTTACTTTAGGGGGCACAAACATTATGAACTCATCATGAAGAATTAGTATATAATCACTAATAAAGTGTAATCGCTCATCACTTTCAGGCTCACAAACATGAATTCATTATGAAGAATCAGTATTTAATGAGTAATAAAGTGTGACTGGTTAATCACTTTATTTTAGGGGGCACAAACATTATGAATTCATTATGAGTTATCAGTAATCACTGCTTTCTTTATAGTGAATTGAGAATTGACACTGCATAGTTTTGTATTTTTCTCACTCTGACACACCTCAGCCAGCACAACAGGAGCTTGTAAATCAGCAGTTGAGTTCAATCAGGTGTACTAGATGCGAGAAAGCACAAAAATGTGCATAAAATTAAGGATTCTTATGACCCCAAGAGAAGACACTCCAATAATTAACTCATTTCTGAGTTCAGTGGTAACTGTAGGATAAACCATTCCCTCATGAGGCTCTGTGTATCAATACAGGAGTTAAAACTGGATACTGAATACAGGAGGCATATTATTAACATGAAAGATGAATTAAAACTATGGCAACTGTCACAAATGATGACTAGTTGCAAAACAATGTCAGTGTAAGCTTTTAATTTTATTAAACAGTCACTAGGTGGGTAGAAACAGACAAGGTAACATAAGAAATCAAAAACAATAAACTCAAGACCTGACAGATAGAAACAGGCAAATACAAGGGCTGCTTACACAACATGATGAAGAAGAAGGACAAGATGATGAGAGGATGGCAGATCATGTATCCTTAATGTAAAGTGTTACCCAATACTGTAAAAACAATGAAGATGAAGGATACATTATAGACATAATAGACACCACATATTAACATGGAATGACATGAAAGATCCAGATGTACCACAATTATCACCCTTAAACGACTTCATGTCACTACTTCATTCCCAACAATGTCAGATTTTTTAATTGTATCGGAGACAATTACGAAAATATGTGTATCACTTTTTTGGTCTGCATAATTTGCTTCGGTTTCTTCTGACTGAACCCTAATATAATGAGCCCCTACACTGAAAAAATGGTATGTTGTCAAGAAAAATCATCTTAGTATAGTGAGATCATTTATTTAATAAAATTACTTAAAACAGAGAAAAAAGTCTAGAAGTAAGCTAGATAATCTTATAATAAGTGCACAACCGTCTCAAAATGGGAAACACTAGATATATCGACTGGATTTCAGATCATTTCACTTGACAAGAGACCATTTTCTGCAGTGTGGTTCTGCTTTTCTGCTTTTCACACTGATATTCAGCTCAAAGTTGCCAATTTATTGAAGACAGGCCTAAAATTGGACTTTTTGATGGTTTCGTCCAGTCTGCATACTGTTCGCCTTGTCTTTGATAGTGCTAGTCACTTGTAGTGGTGGTATGCAGGAGTTCAGCTAGAACCTTTAGAATCTTGCGGCCTGGTAAGACCCAGAAATTTAATTGGGTCGGCACGCTGCTAGGAAAAAAACGAAATAGCAACAAAATGATATAAAAAAGTGACATCTTGTTTTTTCCTGTACATAATTGAATCTGTCAGTTATTTCCACATGAATTAAACATTACATCAACATAATTGCTGCCAAAAGTGAACTGAAAGACAGAGCTGTGTTATGTAGCACGCTGTGATGTCAGCAGAAATGGAAACACAGGGGAGGCTATGATTCTGCTGCATGACATGTTCTTTATTAAACACACAGCAAGAAAGGCACATACAGAACACCAAACTCACAGGGATGACAATAACTAACAGACAACAACATAAAACAATGTAATAAGTCCCTTTTTCAGAGGGTGTGCACACACCATGAGCCTTTGTTATGTATTATTACATATTTGAATCTATTAAATTAAATGCATCAGTGCACAATGTTAACTTTAAGAAAAATGTTTTATACAGACGGGCCAGAGAAGTTATTCATTTAGGCTGCCTGCACTACAGCTTATACATGAGTCTAATGACTAGAAAGGTAGCCAGAAAGCAGCGTATAAGCTAACCTACAACACATTTACAGCATTTAGCAGACACTCTTATGCAGAGTGACTTAGAAAAGTGCTTTACTGTCCACACATACATGTATTCAACCTTAAAAAGCAATTAAATAGCATAATCCTAATCACAGCAGGACACACAAAATATTAAATGTAGTTATGTTATAACTGAAGTTTGGGTGGAGGAGCATGGCTAAAACCCCTCCTTGTTCCAATCTAACGCCCTATAAATTCACATCCTCACCTTCTGTTCCCGTGACAAAGTGTTCGCAATCCCCACTGCCACCCCATCTCTCCCCTGTTCCTCAGTCCTACATCAGTCCAGCTACAGTTATGAGGGGGTCTGGCCTATTAGCTACAGGCAGAAGCTGCCCAGAACTCCAGCCCAAGTTCTCAGAGTTCTCCCTCCTCTCTCAGTCAGTCATACCTCATACTACCACCACCATGTTGAAGGCACGATCTGAACTCACAAAATGCAGCATAGCTAGCCTGATGGCAGAACTGACGCTTTATTAAAGATGGCTGACTGATGACGGCAGACTGTCTCACTTTCCACACCTGGGGTGGCCAGGGGGGTCAGTGCCGTCCTGGATTGCAGCATGGCTACCCTTCTGGCCACCCCAGGTATGGAAAGTGAGACAGTTATGCCTCTGGTGTTATGGCCACAAATATATATCACAATATAGTTTAGGTTTTCTGTAAATCCAAAGTAAATATGAGACATTGTTATTGTACAAAATACCAAAAACAAAACTGAATAACATGCAGATATATACAACCTGTCAGCATTGTCTTCTAACATTAGCCCCACAAGCACAGCAAAAACGCTGCTAAATGATTTAGTTGGCTACTTATTTGGCAACTTTTCCATTCCACCTTAAATGGAGTGACAGTTACATTCTGACACATGTACAGGCACCTGAATGTACTGGCTGTACCATTTAAGGTGGAACGGGAAATTTGAACAAGAAACCAACTGCATCTTCGTCGAATTTCTGGACTGGCAGACGCTACTGGAATTTGAAAAATATTGCAGTCGTTCACGTTTCAGTACCAGCTGCTCTACGGCTTGTTTCGAGATCATCTGATGCAGCTGAGCGAGTCAGGCAGCTCCTTAGCCACTACGTGGGAAACAGAAGTGCTCTGGTGTTTATGTTAGGCTAGTGTTCCTTTATGTCCACTGAGTTGAAGACAAAACAGACTAATTCAGGGAAAACAGGCTAGACAGCGGGAGGCAACTGAGGGTCTGCTGCCCTACCATTTTAATTTGAAACGTGTTTAAAACATCCCTAACTCAGACACTTAGCTAAACAGGATAGCGTTAGTGAGGTTTGCACTGTTTGTACGTCGGGTTATCTGTACTTATTTTTGCTGTACAAGTACAACAGCTAAAACAAAACTCAAACCTGAGAAAGAATTTAAACCAGTACACCACCCACTACTGCTAATCACCCCATTCAACTCAACAATGTCAACCTTTTCAATTTATAATAGGCAAAATAATCTCAAAAGATTCCATGCTAACAATATTGTGCTGGACTAATACTTGTGTTTTTCTGCAGATAACAGCACGGCTCAGTATGACATCATCATTTTGCCTAGCATCTTTGGCATCATCTGCTTCTTGGGCATTGTTGGCAACTGCCTCGTCATCTACACCATCGTGAAGAGGACCAAGTGCAGCGCCAAGCAGACTGTCCCAGATATCTTCATCTTCAGTCTGTCCATCGTGGACCTTCTCTTCCTCCTGGGGATGCCCTTTCTCATCCACCAGCTGCTGGGAGAGGGCTCCTGGTGTTTTGGAAGCATCCTGTGCACAGTCATCACCGCCCTGGACTCCAACAGCCAGACGGTCAGCACCTACATCCTGACGGTGATGACTCTGGACCGCTACATTGCCACGGTGCATCCAATCCGCTTTAACCACATTCGGACACCACGGGTGGCTGTGGCGATTGTTGTAATAGTCTGGCTACTCTCGGTCATCTCCGTAACACCTCTAATCCTGTATGCCGGACTCATGCCACTTCCCGGTGGACGCGTTGGTTGCGCCCTTCTTCTCCCAAACCCCTCCACTGACATCTACTGGTTCACTCTCTACCAGTTTCTGCTGGTGTTTGCCCTGCCGTTGGCCATCATCTGCTTGGTTTTCTTCAAGATCCTCCAGCACATGTCCACCAACGTAGCTCCGCTGCCACCCCGGAGCCTTCAGGTGCGCACCAAGAAGGTGACCCGTATGGCTGTGGCCATCTGCTCGGCTTTCTTCACGTGCTGGGCTCCATACTACATCTTACAGTTGGTTCACCTGGGCATCCGGCAGCCCAGCCCAGCCTTCTACTATACCTACAACATAGCCATTAGCATGGGCTACGCAAACAGCTGCATTAGCCCCTTCCTTTACATCCTGCTCAGTGACAACTTCAAGAGGCAGCTCATTGTAGCCGTCCAGCCAGTCCACAAGCGTTTTCGAATCAACCCCAGCACGACGGACGGCAGCGTGACACTGCATCTCGCTCCTGATGGACGGAGGCACTCTCACTCAGATGACTCTGGACAGTGAGCTGAGGAAACACTATACAAGTCTTTATGAGGAATTCCACAGATGCTTCGAAATATCTGCATAATTAAATTGTTAACATGTAAACAAAGTCATTCAGCAGAATGGTTTGGTGTAAAACGCTCCATTCTAGAAAAACTTACAGTCAGAATTGTTCACAGTGTTGGTGATAGGAACCAGACATCCACCTCTAAAAGCTCCATACAGAAAGTTATTACGTGAAATGGTTATGAATACATTGCCTGATGTCTGAGACACTGTTTTATGATTGTTTTGAGAAGATTTTCTAACTTTTTTGAGAAGATTTTCTACTTAAAATCCATTAATGGTGGATGGGTACATGGAGGGTGTTGTGAGGCAAAATAGTCCCCAAAGAAAACAGAGTATTTTAGATTTTCTGCTATTTTCCCATCATCAACATTCAGTATAAAACTCAGAAGACACGTGTAGGTTCACTGGTGGTTTTGGATAGTAAATAAAATGACTATATTAGTGTTGTAGTCATGGCGACCCCTGGTTCCTATCATCACCACTGTAAAGCAATCTGAACCATTTCACACCAAACCACTCGGAATCACTCTGTTTTCTTTGGGGACTATTTTGCCTCACAACACCCTGCATGTACCCTTCCACCATGAATGGATTTTAAAGCCAAAATGCTCTCAAAACTATTACAAAACAATGTCTCAGACAGTGTACTCATAACCATTTCATGCAATAACTTTCTGTGAGGGAGCTTTTAGAGGTGGACGTCTGGTCATCACCACGACTGTGAACAATTCTGACTCGGTAAGTTTCTCTAAGAAGGAGCGTTTCATACCAGACCACTCTGAATAACTTTGTTTACATCTTAGCTGTTTTATTATACAGGAAATTTTGAAAAATTGGCAGAATTCTGCTTAAACAAGATAAAAGATATTGGGTAACAGACTTCCATTACTCATAAGCTACATTGTGACTCAGGTAAATAATCAAAGTTCAGACAATAAGCATGTGTATTATTCCTGCAAAGCCACTGTTGACCTGCCGCCCACTCTGGACGATGACCACAGGGATATGGGCAAGCGTAATGAAGTGTGGAAATGCATTCAGTTCTGACTGTTCTCATTACGGTCACCATGGCAGCATACCATATGTGTGTCTGATCTAGGAGCACTTATGACAGTGGTTCAGGTCTGATGGCCTCCCAGCTCTGTAGTGTGAACATGCAGTAGCTGAGCACTAATTAACATCATAAGGGCTGTTAGATCTGGGCTGGGTTTAAGCTTATTGAGGAAGATCTATAAGCTTATTGAGGAAGATCTCGCTGCAAAATGATAACTTTACAGGAGAAGGAAAAAACCTTCTTTACTTTCAATTTTAGTCAATGGAACCAGACTTTTTTCCAAGTCATTTTTGGCCATTTCTTTTGATCCATTCATCATGAAATTTGTACAAAATGTAAAGGGGCACAGGCATGTTCAAATTATGTCAAAAACTGAAAAATGCCAAAAATGGAGATACAAGGTTTTCTTCCGACAGCAGCGATCTATTGCATAAACAAAGCATCTTTGTATAGAGACCTCGAGCTCACATCCTCCTTTACACTGCTCTTCAGTTTGACCTCTTCATCTTCAGACTCATGATGTGAATTAGAAGAGGCAGAAAGAGCAGCGTGTTCAGGATAGGTCAAAGGGCAAAGGTATGTGAAATGATTATATGCAGAAAAACATCAATATTCGTAGCAGGTAATATATCTAACACTGAATGTGCAGCATATATATATATATATATATATATATATATATATATATATATATATTATATATGTGTGTGTGTGTGTGTGTGTGTGTGTGTGTGTGTGTGTGTGTGTGTGTAAATATATATGTATGTGTAAATATATGCCGTCATTGCCAGTGGTGAACTGTGACATTAAGCTTAGTACTAGGCTCGTGACTACTGATGTTTTCTGCACATATTTATTTATAATGCAAACTGTGATGCAGATGAAAGCTACAGTTTGAACATTGTTCAGCATAAGTGTACTGTAAATTCTGTAAATAATCCATGTTTTTTTTACCTTTTTTTGGGAGCGGGATAAAAAACATGATGCTTGGAGAATAACACTAACTGAACTCTTCTATTGTGTCACCTACAATGCAAAAAATGATTGTTGTAAGTTTTTATAAGATTTTTTCATTAATTTCCCATTTTACTTGATTTAATTAACTTGATCTAAAGTGTCTGAAAAAAGTAATTCTTCTCTACACAAAATGAAATGTCTATAAGAATGTTAAATAGTCTATATTCTTACAGCAGTCACATAATTGGAAATATTAAATATTAAACATATTAACTACATTTAAATTCCACTGATTTTCTGAATTTCTGCACCTTAAATGTAAAGAGAGTCATTCAGAGTGGTTTGGTGTGAAACGCTCTGTTCTAAAGAAACCCAAGCGAGTCAGAATTGTTCACAGTGGTGGTGATAGGAACCAGACATCCACCTCTAAAAGCTTCCTCACAGAAAGTCATTACATGAAATGGTTGTGAATACATTGCCTGATGACTGAGACATTGTTTTCGCCTTAAAATCCATTCATATTGGAGGGATACATAACAAAATAGTCCCAAAAGAAAACTTATTATTTCAGATTTTCCACGATTTTCCCATCATCAACATTCCATATAAAACTCAGAAGACATGTGTAGGTTCACTGGTGGTTTTGGATAGTAAATAAAATGTCTATATTTGTGTTGTATTCATGGCGACCCCTGGTTCCTATCACCACCACTGTAAAGAAATGTGAACCATTTCACACCAAACCACCCTGAATCACTCTGTTTACATCTCACACACTGAACTATGCAGAAATGTTGAAAAATTGGTGAAATTCCCATGATGAAATTTAAAATGATTTCACTTACCAAGATATTGTTTTTTTTGTAGTGTAAAAGACGCGAGTAATGGCTGCCTTGTGCTGAGTGATCGCGGGAGATGTACGACCACCCTGCTCACCCAGAGAGAGAATGAACAAATACGCTGTATTTAGACTCACATTATATGTTGTTTTTATTTATAGATGTACTGTAAGTCTTTGTGGACTGAATTTAATGTCTAAAATGTGCTACAGAAATAAAAGTGTCATTATGAAACAGATAATTCATGTGCTAAAATCTGAGTCAAGCTCAAAACAGTTGTAAAATACTCATCGCAGACCTATGGACTGTTTTTCTGCTCACATGCCTCACCAAGTGTACTGATAGTTGAAGAAGAACCCAGTTCTGTTTAAACTAAAAAGCTAAAAGCTTCTTTTATTAACAACTAGCATAAAATATAGCAGGCTAAACAGGCAAACAGATAGCTAACGGGCTAAACCGCTGCTCTATTAGTATTCAGTTGTTCAGTCTGTTGTAAAATTGCAAAGCAAAAAAAGTGAATAATGTGTTACTTAAGGTCTTGTCTGCTGTTTTGTTGTAGATCTGCCATAAGTAATATTAAACCCAGTGTGGGAAACACTAATATGTGGCACCATTAGCTAGATGCTAATGCAACACAGAGGCGCTAACATTAGTGGATACTAGGATTATGGTTGTGGTGGTAATTTGGTGAGCATAATTTACTTCTGCACTAAACACTGCTGTATTATGAGCTTTTTTTCATATTATATGATAAAAAAAACTTAAAAACTTCATAGTTCATAGCTCCTTGTTGCTTGGCAACACTAGTGTTGTCTAAAACGAACTACATATCATGGTGGAAGAGCACTTTATTGTGATTATTATTCATTGTAACTTTTGTATATTTTATTCAAAAATTTATATTTTATGTTTTTGCTGTTTTATAAAAACATCAAAGGCACAGTGATTTATGTGTTGCACCTACAAGAACAATTAACCCCTCACCCATTATAAAATTATGAGAATCAAGGCTTCTCTTAGCTTTTTGCTTTAGTAATAATGTGAATTATTTCAGTACTACCCTGCTAGAAAAAACAGCATAGACTAGCAAAACCAGCATTTCACTGTTGTTGGACATCAAATGAAGATAAAAGGTTTTCTTCCGACAACAGCAATATCTTGTGTTTTGACACTGTTATGCTGGTCAACCTGAATGACCATGCTGGGGTGACCAACTAAACCAGCACCAGACCAGCATAAACCAGAATAGACCATCTTAGACCAGCTTAGACCTTGCTGTTTTTTTCAGCAGGATATAAGAAGACAGTTATAGTAAAACTACGAAAGGACTGCACTGTGAAAAGTGTTTTATTAGCTGCTGTTCCAGTTAGAGTCTTAATCAGCTCTCCCTGAGCGGCCACGCTTTATCTGCTCTCTAATTGAGATAAATCATGTTGAAGTTGGGGGATTCTTCTGCTTATCTCTGGTCAGCACACACACACAGTTCCTGATGTGAGTTTTATAGCGCAGCCGTGATCCAAACGAGCAGTTAAAGCCACAGTGGGGAACCGCTACACCTGCCAACCTGAGTTTTATCCAGCAATAACAGAGGTTTCAAAGAAATAATGACAGATACAACCACTGAAATGAGGAATTTTCACATTTACCGTGCACTCTGTTGGCACACTCAGAGTTCCTCGGAGCCCTGGGCCTGCTGTGGTGCTATATTTGTGGTTTCTAACTGGGGCTTAAGCTGGAGAGATTTAAACCATTTTCATTTTTTTTCCTCCAGCAGCTGTCACCAGTCCAGAAGATCTGTCAGCCTCGCCTCTTCAGCAAACTCTCTTCGCACCAAGCTGAGCTAATTATCACTCTGGGATTCAAAACTTTGGGATTAAAGTTAATGAAACGGTTAATTATTAAAGACCTCCATATAATCTAATTACATGATGGCACCAAAAAACAACTTTTCAAAGCAAGATGTCTGGATCTGGAAATGTCTCTTTGGTGCTGTTGCCCAGGAAACAAGGAGGTAGTAAGCAGAAACATTTACCTAACATTAACGTTTTTTGTATGGTTTGGTGGTTTTCTCTGTGATTCATGCATTCAAATGGTTCATATCA